AACTTGCAGTGATCCTCCTGCCTCATTCTCCTAAGAGATGGGATTACAGGTGTGCACCACCACACCTGGCATTTCAGACTATTTTAAAAACATGTTTTTATATTTCTTGGTATTCTGGTAGATGTAAAGTGTTCTGTGATGTTAACAGTCAATAACTTGCCTGGTGTGGTACACACCTGTAATCCCAGCACTCGGCAGGCTGAGGCAGGAGGATTGCTGGGGCTGCATGTGGGTTTAAGGGCAGCCTGAACTAAACAGCAAGACCCTGTATCAAAAAAACCCAAAGATAAATAAATAAATGCCATCTTTTAGTAGATTGATTCCAGTTCTCTCTTTTTTTTAAATTCCCCTTTCAAGATGCGTGTGATGGTGCATGCCTGTAATCCCAGCATTTAGGAGGCTGAGGCAGGAGGATCATTGTGAGTTTGAGGTCAGCCTCGGCTAACAGTGAGTTTGAAGCTAGTCTGGACTACAAAGCAAGACCCTGTCCCTGTCCCCTCCAAAAAAAAAAACAAAAAACAAAAACCCTTTGCCTGAATACATACAGATTTTTTTCTTATTTCACTGGTTTAAATTCTTAGGCAAAAGAATAGGTCTCAGCCAGTTGGCTCTTGCTAAGTATTATGTAAGTGTGTTTTTCAAAGGTGCATGTAATAGCCAGGTGTGAATATGCCTGTCCCCCCAGCGTTGACCAGTGTTAGGTATTTTTATTTGGTTTAATAGCTGTTCATCAGGAATTTACTACACACAGTCTTTAACCTGCATTTCCCTAATTACTAAGGAAGCTGAGTCCTTAAAGACAAATGTTTATTATTTGCATTTCTACTTAGGTGCCTTCGCACTTCAAGGCGACAGAGCAGCTGCCTACTGCGTGTGTATGTGTGTGTGCGTGTGTGTGTCCCCACCGGGTCAGTCAGGGTGGGAAAGAGCCTGGAGCCTCATTGGGAGGATAGGGTGTGCAGGGAGATCCTCTTGCCTCACCCTCCTGAGTGCTGAGATTATAGGTGTGCACCACCATACCTGGTCTTTCTGGCACCAATGAAAGGTAGATTTGGAGGAATTGTTTGTGTCTAGCATCGCAGATAGGACTGCAAATAAACTTTTTATGTAATGTGCACATTAACCTTTCATCTTACTGAAAACTATATGCCTACAGTGGTTAAATATCCAGAACACAAAATTTATCATTGTAGCCAGGCATGGTGGCACACATCTATAATCCTAGCACTGGGGGAGCTGAGACAGGAGGATTGCCCCAAGTTTGAGGCCAGCCTGGGCTACATAGTGAGTTCAAGGCCTGCACTGCATATCAAGACCCTGTCTCTCGGGGCTGGGGATTTAGCTCAGCGGCACAGCGCCTGCCTGGCAAGCTCAAGGACGTGAGTTCAATTCCTGGAACCAGAAAAAAAAAAAACAAAAAAACCCAAAAAGACCCTGTCTCAAAAAAACAATGAAACATGCCAGACATTGATGGCACACGCTTGTAATCCCAGCACTCGGGAGGCTGAGGCAGGAGGATCGTTTTGTGTGTAAGAAAAGCCTGGGCTACAAAGTGAGCTCAAGTCTAACCTGAACTGCATTGCGAGACCCTGTCTCAAAAAAAACAAAAAACAAAAACAAAACAAAACAACAACAACAATAAAAACAAAAACAAAAACCAACCAAATAAAAGAATGTACTGGCGGAGGTATCCAGTGGGCGGTGGGAAATGGGGCGAGATGTTGGGCTGAGAGTGCGCACACACCGCGGGAACCACCTGGCACCAACAGATACGAGGGCCTATTGCTGTGTGAGCTTCCGAGCCCGACCTGAGCGTCGCTCCTGCCGCCTGTGGTCATCACTTCTCTGTGCGGAGAGGAAATAACATTTGGTGACAGACCAGAAGATAAGCTGGAGATATTTATCCTGGAGAAACAATGTCATCCATGCACCAAACGGCACCCGAGGGCACGCTGTGTCCTGGGCAGTGCTAGGAGAATGATGTTGAGCAAAGTAAACATAGTCCCTGCTTTCGGGGAGCCCAGGACTACCGGGCTCCACAAATCACAAAAACAATGTTTATAAACTCTCACTGAAGGACAGAAATACCGGGCTATGAGGGCATCATATTCGATAGAGACCAGATCAGGTCCAGAGGTTAGAGAAGGTTTCCTCTGGGGCCAAGGCTGAATGCACTTTCTCTGGGTGCATTTGTAACTCTTCTATAATGATTCACCCTGGCCGGACTGGGTGGCACACGCCTGTAATCCCAGCACTTGGGAGGCTGAGGCGGGATGGTCACTGAAAATTCAAGACCAGCCTGTGCTATATAAGGAGACTGTCTCAAAAAAAAAAAAAAAAAAAAAAAAAAAGGAGGGATCCTGGCTCCTTCCAATTTCCTTGTTTGCACTTTTACCACGTGATCACCACAGAGGCACTCAGGTCATGGGGTGCCAGTCACCATGGTAAGCTGCTTTCACAGCCCATCCAGATAAGATCATCAGAGCTGGCCTGGTGGCACACACCTGTAATCTCAGCACTCGGGAGGCTGAGGAAGGAGGATTGTTGGGAGTGTGACACCAGCCTGGATTACAAAGTGAGTTCAAGGCCAGCTTGAACTGCATAGAGAGAACCTGTCTCAAAAAGACAAACAAAAAAGAAAAAAAATGATTGTCAGATCCTGACTTGCCTCCAAATCTGTGAGCTCACTAATCCTCTTTATTTATAAGATACCCTCAGGTATTTTGTTATAGCAACACAAAATTGACTAAGGCAGTGGTATTAGTTTTGTAACACTTAACCTTCCACCTGTTCATCAAACATATGTTGGTTATCTTTTGAGTGTCAGGCCATGGTTGAAGCAATCAGGAGCCACTGCCAGATTTTAAGCAGGAAAACATACATTGTAGGTTTTACACAGAACCATCTCTGTCTAACATAATAGATGAAAGGACAGAAAGTGTTGGTTTCCAAAGTATGGTCTGGGATTACCTATGGAGCCAGGATCTCTGAGGTTTAAGCTCAGAAATTTCGTGACCAGGTAGGATTGGAGGTTTGTTTTTTTTTTTGTTTGTTTGTTTTCTCCGGTACCGGGAACCGAACTCATGACTTTGCACTTGCCAGGCAGGTGCTTTGCCGCTGAGCTAAATTCCCAGCCCCAATTGGAGGTTTTTTAAAAAAATTCCAATGCAATAGAGAGAGAAGCACTGTGTTACCGAGATGGTGGGACAGTCAGTGAGTGTGACTTCATGGTGGCTGCAGTAACCAGGTGAGCTGACACGGTGCAGAGACACAGGGCCGTTCATTGGGGCCATTTAGATGCTGTGGACAAGACTTCTCATTTTATCCTTCCATAGACAGTGGCTGAGGTTCACAAAATGGAACCAGGTGGGTGTGATGACACACACCTGTAATCCCAGCACTCGGGAGGCTGAGGCAGGAGGATTGCTGCAAATTTGAGGGCAGCGGGGCTAGGAAGTGAGTTCAAGGTCAGCCTGAACTGCATAGCAAAACCCTGTCTCAAGGTGGAAAAAAAGTGGAGTAGGGGTAATCCCCATGTGGATCCTTTATCTACACACGGACACTTCTACACAGACCTTAAGTGTCTCATATTTATCTTTCTGAGCACCTACTGCGATTTTCCACTGTCTTGTAGCTCCTCCGCGTCGGTAAAGCCTAGGAGAGAAATAAAGGGGGGCCGAAAGCTTTGCCCACCTTTCGTTCTCTGGGACTGGATACAAGCAACAAGGCAGTACAGACTCGGTGAGGGCCGACACCCCGGCTCCCTAGGCCCTAGGGGACACGCGCAGGCAGTAATTCCGGAGGGGCGGGGGTGACCCGTCTCTGCTGCAAGGTTATTACTGGGTTCAGGAAGTGGGGAAGCTGTAAAGCCACCACCGCAGCCTCAACAACCACCCCCAGCATCAACAACCTTCGCAGTAAACTGCGCGAGACGCCTCCCCGCCCGCAGCGCGGAGCGCGCAGGACGCCGGCGGCGGGGGGCGCTCGCTTCTGCCCCGCGAGGCTTAGGCTCCGAGCAGCTGGGGAGCGCGCGAAGCGACACCCCATCTCCTGGGGCACGAGGCCAAGGACACCTCGACCTTCTCTCTGCCGAGCAGGGTAGACGACAGCGAGCCGAGGGGAAGGCTGACGACGCTGACAGCAGCCGGGCACGATTCTCGGCTCCGCGGGGCTCGCTGGGAGCTGGCGGCAGGAACCGAGCGGGGGCGGGGCCAGCCCGGGCGGGGCGGGGCCAGAGCTGGGGGTGGGACCAGAGTGGGCGGGACCGGGCCAGTGCTGGGGCGGGGCCAGCGCGAGAGGGGCGGGGACACTGGGCCTTCGGGGCGGAGCGTGCCTCAGGACAGCCAATCAAAAGGAAGGGTGCGGTCGAGGGCGGGGCGGGGCGTGTCCTGGTTTAGGAGGGGTGAGCTCTGGGCTCCGGGAGGGGGCTGCCTCCCGGCCGCCTACACCGCGTTATAAACGCCGGGCCACCGCGGCGCAGGCCGGCCGCCAACGTCGCTGTCCCCGGACCCGAGGCCCCTCTGCCTTGCCCAGGCGTTTGTTCTGCCTGGGGCCCGTCCCATCCCACCCCGAGGTTCACTGCAGCCTGACCCCCACCTGCTCAGCACCCCTGAGCTCTGGACGTCTGCAGAACGCAATGGTCACAGCCGTAAATGTCTCGCGCGAGATGGGGCAGCTGTTCCAGCCCTATGACTTTGAGACGAGCCGGGACTTGAGGCCCTTTTTGGAGGAGTACTGGTGAGACCTGGGCAGGAGGAAGGGCGGGCCAGCCCGCTACCTGCTGCGGGTGGGGCCGGGGTTGAACGCCTTTCCGCGGCCCAAGGTGCCGGCCGGGACACCTCGAGAGGCTCGAGCGGGGCAGGCGTGCAGCAAGGCGAGGGTGGGGAGGCGCCCGGGAGAACCCTGCGCGTGCCTTGCGGCGGTGCTCCCGCCCACACGCAGCCTGCCCTGAAATGCCCCCTGACCCGCGGTGGAGAAGGCCGAAAAGCCACGGAGCCCTGCGAGGCATTTCCCAGGCTCTGCCTTCGCTGGGAAGCGCTCAGGGCAGCGTGCGGACTAACCTGACCCAACCATGCGGCGGCTGTTGCCACATTCCCCTTACCCCACCGCCGCGGGTTCATTCCGGGTGTGGGCCAGAGACCTGCCACCCACCCGCCTCGCTGCGGCGGTGATCCCTGGCTGTGCGCTGACACTGCGGGAGACGGGTATGCTCGGCCCTTGCCAAAGGAAACCGAAGTGGCGCACGGTAGGAATGACAGGGCTGCAAGTGCAAGTGCGCGCTCGCACGGACAGAGCAGCGGGCATTCTTCTACCCTGTACCCGCTCGAGCGCATGCCCTCTGCGTTCTCCTGCCAGGGCAACTGCATTCCCCATAGCTCTGGTCTACCTGTTGCTTATCATCGTGGGGCAGAGCTACATGAAGGCAAGGAAGGGCTTCGACCTGCAGCGGCCGCTCGTCCTCTGGTCCTTCTGCCTTGCACTCTTCAGGTAGGGCACCCCTGTCCCACCCTCTGCCTTTTTTAGGGGGCAGGGATTGCACCCAGGATCTCGGCACCAAGCCACATCCCCAGCACCCTCCCACTTTTTAACAATTTTGAGAGTCCTGCTAAATCGAGAAGTTGCCTGGGCCTCCTTCTATCCCTTAAATCTTTCCAGAAACCTCAGGTGCCTTCCTCCTAGTTTACACCTTTCCATGTTACCCTGTTTTCCTTCTTTCCTACACCATGGCCTGGCAGTCTCCGCCCCGTCCCTCTCAGCTCCTAATAATCTGTCCCAAGTCTGGCCAACAACCTCCTAGCACTCCTTCCTGTGTTTTCTTCCTCCAGATCCTCCGACCTTCCCCAGCCTCCCCCAGTGCCTAACTCAGCCTCCAGCCCCCGCTCCGCCCTCCTTTCCCGTGGAAGGCTGATTGGATCTAGCACATGGGCACAGGATCTCTGAGGCTGTGACCCCTGTGCCCCTTGGAAGGTTGACAGGGCTTGGTGACCCAGTCAGACCAGGAGAAGGATGAATCGGTGCCTGGAAGTGACCTGGTACCTTCTGCCTCTGTCCTATTTCAGTATCCTGGGGACGGTGAGAACGTGGGGCTATATGGGGACCCTGATGCGTAGCGGGGGCCTGAAGCACACCGTGTGCTTCACTGACTACACTGAGCACGCCATAATCAAGTTCTGGTCCTGCCTCTTTCTCCTCAGCAAGGTCATCGAACTGGGTGAGTGACGAGGCTTTGTGTCCCTGGGGTCCAGGGAATTGCATGCTTGTCCCTCCTCGGAGCCCCTTCCCTGCCCGAGCCCTGCAGCACATTTTCTCCCAACCTCGCTCAGATCCCCCGCCGTGAGGGTCCCCCCTGTGTCCCCACCCCCAGTGAGGAGGGGACCTGGCACTGAAGGGTCCTCCTGACTCCCATCCCCCAGGAGACACGGCCTTCATCATCCTGCGGAAGCGGCAGCTCATCTTCGTGCACTGGTACCACCACAGCACGGTGCTGGTGTTCACGAGCTTCGGGTACAAGAACAAGGTGCCCTCGGGCGGGTGGTTCATGACCATGAACTTCGGCGTGCATGCCGTCATGTACACCTACTACACCCTGAAGGCCGCCAGGGTGTCGTGCCCCAGGCTGCTCCCCATGCTCATCACCAGCCTGCAGGTCCTGCAGATGGTCCTGGGCACCGTCGTGGGCATCCTCACCTACATCTGGAGGCAGGAGCAAGGGTGCCACACCACAGCGGAGCACTTCTTCTGGTCCTTTGTCTTGTACGCGACCTATTTTGTCCTCTTCGCCCATTACTTCCACCAAGCCTACATCAAGCCCCCGGTCAAAGCCAAGACCAAGAGCCAGTGAAGGGCTGGGGAGGAAGATGGCGTCTCAGGCTCTCTCTCCTTCCCCGACCCTCGGGGACTGGACTTGTGTTGGGGATGACTGGGGTGCCTCCCCTGCATGGCTTCCCAGTGGTTCGTGAGCCCCATGGTGGGAGAAGTTATGCAGAGAAGTATCACCCTGGGACGAGGGTACCGATATTTCTGTCTTTAATGTGAAGCCAAGCATGCCCTGGAGATGGGGTGGGGCTGAGGAGGGTCCCAAGAGCTGACTTATTTATATTTCTATCCCGAATTGTTTCTTCTTTTGTAAAAAAAAAAAAAAAAAAAAGAATGAAGCCTTTTTAAAATTTAATTTTTTGCTGGGCGTGGTGGCACATGCCTGTAATCCTAGCACTCAGGAGGCTGAGGCAGGAGGATCATTGTCAGTTCGAAACCAGCCTTGGCTACAAAGTGAGCTCAAGGCCAGCCTGAACTGCATAGCAAGACCCTGTCTCAAAAAAAAAAAATTTTTTTTTTTGGCACCCGGAATCAAACTCAGGACCTTTTGCTTGCCAGGCAGGTGCTGTGCCGCTGAGCTATATCCCCCGCCCCCTTTAAAATTAATGACATCGAGCCAGGGGTGCTGGCACAGACCTGTAATCTCAACACTCAGTAGGCTGAGGAAGGAGCATCGCTGTGCATTCGAGGCCAGCCTGAATTACCTAACGAAGCCCCGTCTCAAACAAAACAAAACAGAAATGAATGATGTCGACAGGATTTGGAGGGGCTTGGGGTTCTGGGGTGGGAGAAGTCTGTTGGCAGTGGGGCGATGTCGGCCGGGAAGCCTGCGGGGGTGTGCAAGGATGGGAGGCACTCACACAGAGACAATAAGAACCCTAGGCCTGGTAGGCACTTAATAAATGTCTGTTACAGACCAGAATTTTATTGCTGTTAGGGGCCTGTGCCCCTCATAGGAACAGTGAGAAACAGGTGCAGAAAGGCGGAGTAACTCATCTAAGGTCAGAGGCTTCCTAGATTGCCAAATTGATCCCTGCAAATACGCGCTGGAGACCAGACCTACCAGCTGTGCTCCCTGAGACCGCGAGGTGGCGCCGCAGCACCGGCTTTGGCCGACGGCAGCCCGGCGCTGCTTCCCCCAAGCTCGAGGCACTCGGGCACCCCTTTGCTCCGGGAGCCGGGCATCCCGGCTCGAAGGCGGGGAGTGAGCGCACCGAGGCCTGGACGCTCGCCTCGTCCCAGCACATCCATCGCTCTGTTTAGGCCGTGGGGAGAAGGACGGGAGAGGGTCAACCGCAACTCGGAGTCAGCAGGCTTTCACAGTCCGCGCACGTTTATTTCATTTACCTTTGAAAACGGGATTGGGGCGTCTGGAGAAGGCGGCCGGGCCGGGGAGCAGCGGGCCGGGGAGCTGGTCCCTGTTCCTGGCCTCAGTCCCGGGCGCGGTCCGGCCGGGACGGCCCCGGCCCCCCAC